CATTGTGGTTTTGATTGTATTTCCCTTATAACTAATGGTATAGAGCCAATGGATGAATGAATGAATGCACAAAGGGACTCACTATTTTAATAAAATCTTAAAATCAAGATTTTCTAGTTTGTATTATTATTTTAATATGCAAGATCATTAATATTAACTTTGAAAATGAGAATAAATCAGGATTTATATTTATTTTTCTTGATTATACAAATACTCTTCTGTACTATGTAACATTGTTTATCAATATATCATGGTGACTATAGACGGTCTCCTTTAACAGTGGTTTTTCCTTTATTTCTTTTTGTACCCCAGGCTATGCTCCCCCTTGGGAAATGAGCTGTGCCACAAAATGTATTAGAGCTTTGTCATCAGGAGGGGGGTTGTCAGTTAAGTAGATACAGCAGCATGTGCTTTCAGTATTCTCTGTATAAATAGAGCTACTTTCAAGATGCATTAGCTCCCAAAGCAATCCCTGAGGAAAGTGTGAATCCCTTCAGTCATAAAATGTGATACACAGAAACCACAGTGTAACACAATACATTCTTAATTATTAACAATGCGAATTATGAAAACATAATTTATAAAGCATCCCCTAGCAAGCACCAAGCATGACATCGGATAAGTAACTTTGTCCAATATCAGGATTTATTCTGAGTTAAAAAACCTGTCACAAAAAATCAGTTTATGAATCGATTTGTGTATTAACCACATTAAAGATCCTTCCTCAGAGCAGAGTGTGGTCGGAAAACGTGTGTCAAAGTGAAGTTCTAATTAATTCATACCTCATTAAGTATAATGGAATCTGGGTCAGCCCACAAGGGCATAGCCCTGAAATGCAAATAACTTGCCCTAATGAAAATCCTGTTGGTACTAAGGTGATCCCACTGTGATAAACGGCAGAGAACAGACACTCTGTCCAGGGTGGGGAAAGGGTGGCTGTCGTAGGAGGGCGCAGACAAGAGTGTAATCGCTAAACCTAGGAACTCAGGGTAATTTTCAGCACGGATCTCGGGTTGGCCTCCGGCCCCGCCCCGCCGCCTCCGGCCCCGCCCCGCCCCGCCGCCTCCGGCTACGCCCCTCCTAGCCCCGCCCCTTCCTGCAGCCGCGGTCCCGCCCTGCTTTTTCAGGCAGTTCCACCTTCTCTGCGCCACTCTCCGCCTCTTCACCTGGGGCTCCGCGAGTCCTGGTCCCAGGTCTTGGCTTCTGTTCTCTGCTTGGGCTCGGATGCGGCTGGCACTGGTCCCCGAGTTGCGCCTCTTTCACTTGTTTTTCTGGGACCGCTGCCCGGTCCTCTTTAGCTGCATCGGGTCGCCTCCTTGGGTGCTCTCAGGGCCCAGCAATTGGGGCCTTTGTCCAACTTCTGCCTTGCCCTGTGCTCCTCCCTTGGTAGCTGCTGAGGTTTCGAGTCCCAGGCCCTATGTGGCCACACACCATCTTTCCCGACCAGGACAGAAAGCCTTTTCTTTTCATCTGACCTCTTGCTCTTCTTCATTTAACACCCCCAAAGAAGTGATGTTTGAAGCCACAGAATTGACGGTTTACATTTTGAAAGCGCATACCCCACCTAAAGATCGACATTGCCTTGTTTTCTGCAGTGTTAAAAAGTTACAACAACTGTTGCCCCCGCTGGCGCTGTGACACCGATTTGTAGCCTCAGCCTCACGGAAGGCTACAGTAGGAGGGCGGCTTCAGTCCAGAAGTTTGGGGTTAGTCTGGGCAACATATCAAGACACTTGTCTCTTTTAAAATAAAACAACCATACAAAATAAAAATCTAAAACTCAAATTTAAAAATGTAAACAACTGATTGGAGCTCAGGCATAATTGACTTAGCACTGAATATGTCTGTCACTAATTCATAAAGCAATGGTGAAGTGGGGGTTAATGTAATTGATGGTGGTTCAACCTAAACTATCATAAAACAAAAGATTTATCGATTCATAAGACGAGATTTACTGCCACTGAAAATACAGGGACAACTGAGAAAGGAAGAAAATTTTCATTTACAAAATAATAAAATGGGTACAAATATAGAGAATGTAGGAAAATACAGGGCTTTTTTTTTTTTTTTTTTTTAATTTAATCTTGCAGACGGTTAAAGATGATCCAGCCATTAGGATGCCCTGTAGATGCTGCAGCTCTTTTGGTTCTTGTCCTTTAGAAGTTCTAGCTATGAAGAATTTTCTTGGCTGGGGTTGTAGCTCAGTGGTATAGCACTCGCCTAGCACATGCGAGACCCTAGGTTTGATCTTCAAAACCACATAAAAATAAATTAATAAAATAAAAGGCATTATGTCTATCTACAACTAAGAATATATTTTTTAAAGTTTTCTTCTGTGAATTTATCTGAAAAAGTTAAGAGTATGCTGTGAAAATAAAGAGACCCCACCAATATATATTGATTTAAAGGAAATAGAGACTTTTTACTCTTGTAACAGACCAGAGATAGGAATGGTTCTGACTAGCAGGGTTGTTAAGCTCCATTTCATTCACGCATCCTGGTTTCTTTCCTCTGTAAGTTTTCGCATCCTCTGGGTGAGATATTTTTCCTCGTTTGCGTGGTTAAAGCTGGAGCGCTACAGCGGGTGTGCACTGGCGCCACCTAGCGCTGGAGCAGGGACAACGAATATGAAAAGGCGAAAGCAGGCAACAGCCCCAGGTTTCCCTCCTTCCAATAATTCAGATTGAGCTGGCCTCCGACACTTTTGCGGACCTCCAACCTCAAAAGAGCAGAAACGGAGGGCAACGATTTATTTTTAAGCAAGAGTTACAGATCACCTGTAACACTTCATTCTTGTTCCACTGGTGAGAACTTAACCACACTAGGTTGTAAGGTCAACTGGGAAATGTGGTCTCTAACTTCCTGTGTCCAACTATAAATTTATCAGGGTAATAAAAGGTTGAAACAGACTTTGGGGAAAACTATCATTCTGCAACATTCCCACTTAATTTCTCAAGGGAGGCTCATTAACTTCAGTTTATTTACATTGTGGTGTCCTTTTGCTTTCAATCAATGTACTTTAATATATGCCTGTAATGTACTTTAATGAATGCCTCATTACTTTGGCCCCTCCCGCTTTATTCCATTTTGAAAGAGGCAGAGTCAAAGGGGGAAATGGGAGGGTTGTTTTTTAAGGTGAAAGAACTCAGAATCTCTGAAAGAGACACACAGAGAGCTAGAGATAAGAATTCTGAACTAACTGGGTTTGAGTTAAGAAGGTACAACAGGGGGTTGTTATTCCCTGACTCGGTAAAGATAAATTTAGAGAAGGGGAGTAGCAAGGAGTTGAAAGAAGAGTTGAAAGTTTTTATCTGATGGTCTTTAAGTTACCTACCTCAAGGACCGAGGTGGAGAGGAAAGTTCAGACTCATTTTTAGGGGGAAAAAAAAAAGGGGAAAGGAAAGACTGCCCACGAGGACAAATGAAAGTTCTGCTGCAGCAGAACTACTCCGGTTGTATTTTTTTCTTTTTTCTTTCTTCCCCTCCATCCCTTAACCTAAGCTTGTTCCAAAATGCCTCCAAGCCGTCAAATCGAAATTCTTCGCCCAAATCTTACCCAGTTACTAGTTTTTTAATTCAACAACAGGGACAACGAACATGAGAAGGCGAAAGCAGGTAACAACCCCAGGTTTCCCTCCTTCCAATAATACAGATTGAGCTGGCCTCCGACCCTTTTGCGGACCTCCAACTTCAGTTACTATAGCTTATTCTCCTTTGTACAGCGCAAACATCTCCTAAATTTGCTTATTGTGGAAAATGGAAGATTTAGGTAGATGGTTTCCCTCTTAAAATAAAATTTTTTAAAAAATAAATAAAATGACATCTTCCAAAAGATGCCACACGTATTCAAGATAATGCCGGGGGACCAGGCGTTAAGCACTTCCTTTACTTTCTCACTGCGTTTCTGGATACAATTAGGATCACTTAAGGGTTTACTGACCTGACCGATTCCGGGTAAATACAAACAGTGTTTGGAACAAAACTTAGTGAGATCACGCCACAGAGGTCCGCTTTGGATTCCTCGCTGAGTCTATTATAAAGCAGAACTGTAACCCCGCCGGGGTGACGAAATATGGCCCCAGCCTCCGGACCGCCTCGCGCGAGGCGTGTTCAAGCTCTGAACCGCCCAGTTTTGCCCCTCCTCCGATGACGTCACCACACCTCAGCCTTTAGTGTCTTTCTGCCGCCGTTCCGACCGCCGGGCGCGGTGGCGCGCGCCTGTAGTCCCAGCTACTCGGGAGGCTGAGGTGGGAGGATCGCTTGAGTCCAGGAGTTCTGGGCTGTAGTGCGCTATGCCGATCGGGTGTCCGCACTAAGTTCGGCATCAATATGGTGACCTCCCGGGAGCGGGGGGCCACCAGGTTGCCTAAGGAGGGGTGAACCGGCCCAGGTCGGAAACGGAGCAGGTCAAAACTCCCGTGCTGATCAGTAGTGGGATCGCGCCTGTGAATAGCCACTGCACTCCAGCCTGGGCAACATAGCGAGACCCCGTCTCTTTTGGACCCTCCTACTACTATTATTTGGGGAACTTCACCGATGCAATGTCTTCAAAGTCAATAAAAGTTTTGCCTCGTCGAAGTTCACAAATATTCGGAAATTTACTAATATATACAGTTTGAACATATATTCCTGGACTCTTTTAAAATTAGTATTACCTCCCTCTTCCTGTTGTTCTATGTTTATCTCCAGTTTTATGTGCCTTTAGGCTTAAAAGCTCACAGGCTAATTAGGCATTCTTAGAGCCCTGGAGTTACCTCATCGCTGACCCCTACTGGAGCACCGTCAGAACTTCTCAGCAAAAATCTGTTATTATCCTCGGAGCCACCAGGGGCTGCTCGTTTACACACAATCTGACGCAGAAAATGGCCACCTAACAAGATAGAAGAAATTCATTTAAGAATTCTTAGGAGTTGTGGGAGTTGTGGGTATGACAGTAATGAAGGGCCTTCCTAATTATGCCCGGGTTCAGGGTTCAGGCCCCAGCAACGGAAGAAAGAGAAAAACTCTTCCTTAAATGAAGAATCTTCTCCTCAGTCCCTCCTGGGTCTGCTTGCACAGCCACATAAAGTCTTGTTATGGATGTTTTGGACAATCTTTTAAGAGCTTGCAAGCCGGAGATGTAGCCCAGTAGTAGAGTGTGCCTACTTATATGTAAGGCCCTGGATTAGGTCCCTAGCACTGAAAAAAAAAAAGAAAAAGAAAAAAGAAAAGAAAGAAAGAAAGAAAGAAAAGAAACCACACAACAAGAAACTAAACTTTAAAAATTGCTTCCAAGTGAATGTGCTTTCACTAAGTAGAAACAGTGGAGAAACTATTTAAAAATATCTTTATCCTCTCTCCATCCTCAAAATAGGAGGCAAAATAATTTTGGCGTATGTCATTGGTTTTTCATTAAATCAACTCCTGAATTCCGCCCAGACTGACAGTTATGGATATAAGGACTGCATTTAAATAGCTACCACTGTGAACCTTGAGCTTTTTACCCACCTCAACCTGTTTCAAGACCCATGGGGGAATTTCTCAGCTTTGTGTGATAGGCAGCATAATGACCACCCTCCCAAAGATGTCTGTGTACCAACACTGGAACTTGTGATGTACTAACCTTACATAATAAAAGGACTTTACAGATTTGGTTAAATTAAAGAATTTGAGATGAAAAGATTATACATAGGGGACCCATTTAACCCAAGGGTTGTTATGAGAGCAAGGCTGGTGAGTCACTCAGAGAAAGGGATGTGGCCTATAAGCAGAGGTTGGAGTCAGACAGAGACACCAATTAAGGAATCAACAGCCCTTAGAAGCTGGGAAAGACCAACAGAAGGAATATAGCTCTGTTGACCCATTTGGTACTCTGTCCTCCAGAACTCTTCCTTAATCGATTTGTGTTGCTTAAGCCTCTACAGTTATTATAGCAGCAATAGGAAAGTAATTCACAGAGGGAGTCTAACTTAACCTGTACCAGACAAAACTCTGCAAGATAGGAAAGGAATCATTTTAGTAACTGTCTTCTCTAACATGCTTGTACTTTAAAAAAAAAATCTTTTAAAAACACATTTTTACATCAATTCCTTTATGTGTGTATATGTATATGTTGATCATGATTTTATTTTGAACTTAAAATTGTGTTTACATTGGAAT